AATTGTTAATAATCATTAAGATTTTTTAACAGCTACATTACATTACAAACATTAACTATCACATTACATTAGAAGCATTAAATCCTTACCCCCACATCTTAATCTTAATAGCCAGTTGACTCGTTATATGTTAAGTTCAGTTCTTCAATCTTCCATTCTTTCTCTTGTTTCCTTATATATATATGTAAATAGTTCCAGTTCTTGAAGTTCAATTTTATATTATCAAAAGTGTCTCTCGATTTAGTATTTGAAGTGGAAGGAGTTACGACTTGCTTATGATACTTGATAAATAGATTAATATTACTCACAAAATTGGTAAATATGTGTAAATCATTGTTTGAACTGCAAAATCAATATTCAGATAGTCCATTAATGAATGTTGTGGAACCAAAGAGGTGGGAAACCTGAAGTATAGTGAAGATAGTGTTGAATTTTGATTAGCTCCAATCTTGTTTGAAAATTCCTTTATCAAGTCGAAAAGTCGAATGTCTCTGTCGAATGAGACAACGAAATATTTCCCATCACAATAAATTGTTGTTGAAATTTTTGCCATGACAAACTTAAAAAGTGGAACTTGAACAATAATATATTTAGTGAAGATGTGATTAATATGTTTTCTATCACTCATATAGGCATGATAATATGTAGTCATAATGACTATAAACTCATAATGACCAAATAATGAGTTACATAACAATAATTGCTTATAATCATTTAGATTTTTAGTTAAAAAGTTCTATTAAAAAACATAAAAAGTTAATATTTCTATCATTTGAAATTATTATTATACCATATCTAATTTTTCATTCACTATGAAATAAGTTTGATTTAAGGTGATATTTCATTGAAAATAATTGGACGTGAATAGTTAAGTTTCTCAGTCATTTGAAATTATTATTGTACCAGATAAAAGATTTTATTCAACATGAAAGAAGTTTTGATTTGAGGTGACATTTTATTGAAAAAATGACGTGAATAGTTAAGATTCTTTGTCATTTGAAATGATTTTTTATTGGATCTAATTTTTCATTCACTATGAAATAATTTTTGATTTGAGGTTATATTTAACTGAAAATAACATGACATGAATAGTTAAGATTCTATATCATTTGAAATTATTATTGTACCATATAAGATTTTTAATTCAATATGAAAGAAGTTCTTATTTGAGGTGATATTTCACTGAAAAGAAAATGACATAGATATCTAAAGTTTTCTTTCATTTAAAATTATTATTGTGCCAGATTTAATTTTCCATTAACTATGAAATAAGTTCTGATTTAAGAAGATATTTCACTGAAAATAACAGGACATAAATAATTAAAATTATCTATCATTTGAAATTATTATTGTATCATATAAGATTTTTCATTCAATATGAAAGAAGTTCTAATTTAATGTGACAATTTACTAAAAATAATACGATGTTAATAGTTTATATTCTATGTCATTTTTAAATATTACGAAAGGATCTTGTAAATTGACTTATGTTCCCTAAAAAACTTCTACTTCTTACAGTTGGGTTGAAACTACAAAAAGTTATTTCAAATAATGAATAAGAAATTATTCACAAATGTCCATTACAATGACAAATTTTTGCAAACTAATATTGGTGTTATATTTAAAGTACACAAGCACGTAAATATTATGTTCCCTTGAGATGTATCTCATCACCAAATGAAGAGCAAAATTTAAAGAATACTTAGAGCTTCTGTTTCATGTTTGAGTTATCGATACATGATCTCATCAAATCCAATCATATATGGAACAGTCCAGCTTGATGATGATGATGATACTATTATGGTTGGACTACATCAATTATCAAATAATGATATGATCAAGATTTATGTTGAAATGACAAATACGTCAGATGTTTCGACCTCCTCAACAACTACACCGATAACAGAAGAACCAGAAACATTTGTATCATATACAAGTGGTGCATATGATAACCTTGTTAGCTTATTCGATGAAAGTCTTACTAAGTTTAACGAGGATGATGAAATTGTATTTCTATATATGACGACACATCAATACTTGATGATTATTATATTTTCCTTTAGAGAGAGAATGTTTGGATATTGAGGTTGATATATGGGAGGTAGTTGTTTCACGAGCCATGGATTGTAGGATGCTCTAAATGTTTAGGGCCAGACAATAACATAATCTTAATCTTAAATATCTCAAAACAATTTGTTTTTGTATCATTATCCAATTGCCATACATAAAGTTAATTATAATACTATGAGTAATCTTAAAATCCATGATATGCTGGAGATATGTACTGCCCACTGGGGTTATTCAGATGAAGAATCAACTGAGCTGGTGATTGGGTCCCAATTTGAAACTAAAAAGGATGCACAACTAACTATCAAAGAGTAGTACATCAAAACCTATCTCCAATTCTATGTTGCAGAGTCTCATAAAAAAAACATATTTTTTAAGGTGTACACACCATGTTGTCGGGTATAATTGGAGGATACGAGTTTCATACTTACAACTAGAGATGTTATGAAAAGTCGCAAGGTTTAGTGGCCAATACATATAAACAACGAGCTCGTTAACACAACACTACAAACATTTAGATTCATTTATAATTTGTCTTACTACAAGTCGTGGATGATTAAAAGGAAAACAATGATATTGTTGTACAATGATTATGATCAGTCATATAATGAAAAATTACCTCTGCTGTAAGGAATGAAATTTTTTTATCCCTGAAACCATTGTAAGTTCCTATATTCTTCTTGTGACCATACGTCACGGAGAAGTTATCTCTGTAAAGAGAGTTTTTAGTGGCTTATTATGGGCTTTCAAGTCATTTATTGAAGGGTTTTGATTTTGCAAACAAATGGTTCAATTCGATAAGACTTTTATGTATGGGGCATACAAACACGTCCTGATGATAGTTGTTGCACAAGATGATGATAAAAACATTTTCTCCATTGTCTTCGCTATTGTTAGAAATGAATTGGAGGCAAGTTGGAAATTCTTTCTCTCTTATTTGTGTTCTTATGTTGTCACTCAAGATGTGGTTTGCATGATATCAAACTATTTGTTTGAGTTATTACTGACAATTTTTAGACCAATAAATAGATGGATGCCTCCCTACGCATATGCAACATATTATATACATCATATCGTCTCTAATGCTACGAAGAGGTATAAGAACAAAAAAATATATAAAAAAGAGATTATCAATATGAGTAACTAATACATTATTTTTCATTAATTATTTATGTTTCATTTATGTTATTCCTTTTGTATTCTTAAATCTATTTTTTCAGGGTATGCTTTACTACAACCACACTCATGCATGGTTAGAAAATTTGAGAAGAAACAGAGAGATTTTTTATAACTTCACACCATATAATGATCAAAGTTAATGTTACAATCATATGACAACCAACCTTGCCAAATTTATAAACCCAATGCTTAAAGAAACTAAACATTTTTCGATATCAATTATTATTTAGGAGACTTACTTCAGGTTGGGTAACATTTGGGCAGACAAATGTGCACAAATAGATAGATGCTATGGTCAACGAAGGAAGAAATTAATGTCCAAATTTGAAGAAGGCAATGCAAAAAATAAAACACATGCAACATCAGTGTTTGTTCATAATCTTGCCAAACTTGGTTCTTATTACGTTGTCCAATCAATTGTTTGATCACATGAGGGAGACAATTTTACCTCATACATTGGTAATCTAAATAGAAATGGTGTGATTGCGGTCAATTTCAAACTTTTAAATTCTCATGAGTTTACGCAGTCGCTGCATGTATGTACGTTAATGTTAACCCATACTCTTATGCTAATGATTGTTATAGCCTGCACACTATGCATAGTATATATAATTGTGAGTTTAAGTATTTCCCCAACGATGTTTATTGGCTTACACCAACTATTTCTAAAGAATGGTTACCAAATCTAGAATTGTGTAGGAAGTTGAAGGATTGACTTGTATATAACCGAATTCATACTGATATGGATGATTCTCAAAGAGAGCAAGATCTACCAAAAATTTGTGACTACTGCAGAGGTAAAGGTCACAATAAAAAGTAATGTCCGCATTTTCTTAAATATCGACATAGACGATAAAACCTTCATAATTGTGTTTAATTCATGTTTTTAATTACACTATTTTTAATTGAATTTATGTATTTCTCTAAATTTTTATCTTTCAGTTCATATTTTTCAGATTTTACTTTTTTATGTGTTATTTATGTATTTTCAACATCCTTATTTTCAACTTTTTAATTCATACATAATTACAAATTATTCATAAATAACTTTACTTAAGTAATAAAGACAAATTTATACATATATTTAAATTATAAAAATAACAATTTTCATAAATTATTTTAATTTTTTCAGCCCTCTATATAATTCGTTTATAACGTCAGATTGGTAAGTCTTCATATTTATCTTTCGTCTTCTTCTTCTTCTCAAATCACATACTATTTTTTTATTTTTTTCATCCCTCTCTAGAAGTTGTTTATTACATCGAATTGGTAAGTCTTCATTATTCTTCTCGATTTTCATAATCTTCTTATTCTCCTCTTTAACTTTCTTCATCTACTTATATTCCTCAACTATCGACATTACTATATGCTTACCCACTCCTCATTTGAAAAGGGACTTGAATATAAATCGTCACAGTTGGATTCGTAAAACTCATAAACATCGTTCGCCAAATTATACCCAAATTCTTCCCACTGATTCATGATTTGATTGTAATAACTTTTTTCACTTCTCACATATACATCATCAACTCACTCATATTTATATATAAAAAAACTCAACCTAACTGTCGGAACTTGTCACTTCCACATGACTAGTTCCAATGGAATTTAAAAATATATATGCCTATTTCATAATAAAATATAAAAACTAATGCCTATTTTACAATATTTGAAAGTTTAGTGCCCAAAAAATATTTTTGTATATTTTAGTGACCGTTTTTGAGTTTACCTTTTCTATTTTATTAAATATTTATTGTTTCATTCATTCATATCTATGATTACTGGTTTCCTGGGTTAGTTTTTGTGGTTGTTCTACTCTCTAATTGCTCTGCCTTCTCGATCTCTCTCTTCCTCTTGTCGACAAAGCATAACGTTTTCAGATTCATTTAGACTAGTTTAATTTAATTGATTATTTTCCTTTTTGTACCTTTGTTTATTTCTGGTAGCTCGTGGTTTCCATGATGAATCATTGAATTGTGACGCATTTGTCCGTTTCAAAAATATTTGCGTTTATATCACATATATGGTAGAGTTTTTTTTTCTTGTTGTTTATCTCTGCTTTTCGCGGTTTATCGGTGATCTGTGTTTTGAGTGAACCCGAGCTTTGAGGCTTGGGGAACTGAGGATCCGAAAAGCTAATGGCAGGTGAGAATGGCAGTGATGCTGGACTCCACTCGAGTCCTTATCTGCAGAAATTAAGACTCTACGAGACTCGCTCGGTACTTTTCATCTCTCATCGTATATAAATACGTGTATATATACAGTTATACACGTGTATGTACATGTATCACATTGCTTGTTTATACGGCTGTTGGTTAATTATTTTTTGTCTTGTTTGCTTTGATCACTGTAGTTGCTTAATCTTTTTCCCTTTCTTATGGCGACTTTGTGCTAAATTATTTATTTATTTTGGAAATTTTGAGCATAAAAGATGCTTTTGAGCTTTCGCCTTCAAAGCTGCTATGTGACATGGTCTGATTTTGGAATGATTTGAACCCTTTTGTCCATTAAAATTTGAAATATTTAACAATGGGTGTACAATATCTGTTTCAGAAGAAAGAATCGCCGATTAGTTCTTTGGGACGTATATTGAAATTTTTTGTCTTTTGAAATCAAATAGAACTGGTTGTAATTTGCAATACCAGGTTTAATTAAACAGTTTGACTTCTGTTGTCAAACTTTTGATTGTTATCAGCAGTGATTTGGTTTAGTATGCATTCGGAGTTCTTTACATATACCGTGATCAGAACTTTTTAACATTTTTAATTGGCTTATTATAGTTGGAATTTCCTTTTGTAATCAGTTCTCTTTAATTGCAATCATCCCCTATTAAGGGTGCTGTTTTTCCGAATCTAATAAAGTTGGTTCTTTACTCCTGAGATTCTATATTATAAGACAACTTTTCACCCCCCCTTCTTTTTTCCGCTATATTGCTGATAGGAGGAATACAGCTACCTTTTCCTTTTGCTCTTAAATTTCTTTGGGCTGATAGTATGTGGTTTCCATCTCAATTTCAAAATATGGATTCAACGTTCATGAATTCCTTCTGTGCAACAGAATTTCTATATGATTGGAAGAGACAAGAATAGAACTCTTTGGAGGGTACTAAAGATTGATCGATCGAACCCTTCCGAATTAACTGTTGTTGAAGATTCTACGGCATACTCGGAAATTGAATGCTGTGATCTGTTAAGAAGGATACACGAGGGAAACAGGTCCTCGGGTGGACTTAAATTTGTGACAGCTTGTTATGGAATCGTTGGTATGCAGTACCTATCAGGATCTACACCTTCCCTCTCTTTCATTCGTGGTATAAGCTAATTAATTTCTCCCTTTTTAATTCAGGGTTTGTGAAATTTTTGGAATCTTATTCCATGATGCTGATCACCAAAAGGAAGAAGATTGGTGCAATTTGTGGCCATACTATCTATGCCATCTCCAAGAGCGAGATGATTCCAATTTCAAAATTTCCTATCCAATCCAATATGGCTTATTCTAAGAATGAAAAAAGGTCTTTTGTCAATTCTGCATGTAAATGTAATATGTCCTTGGTACTTAGAAGGGGACCTGAGATTATCACTGAGAGTATTCATTTTCCATTTGTATTTAGATGGGATGGTTCTATGTGGTGATTATTTACCTATTCAATTAATTATGTTTTCCGGGACAATAATTTGAGTTCTGGAGTTCTATTTTAAAAGTAGAAGAGTTCCATGGTGTGGAAGTAATCACTATACCATTTTTGTTGATACACCCTTAATGCTATACCATTGACATGGCCCTGTGCAATTGAAGCACTTTTTTGGTAAGTATCTTCCAATTTTTTATTTTTTATTTCATGTTGGAATGGTTATATCAGCTTTCCCCGGCTTAATGTTGCATCATCTTGATTAATATCATTTGTAGAGGCTACTGCAATTTCATTTTCTGCATATCTACAGGTGAAAACTTCATTGCTGTCTAATGTTAATATAACATGTTGATGAGACAAGGTATCATCGGGGTTTCTGGGGGAAATTGCAATCTCTTGCTTTTATTTCATTTTTAAATTTTAAGTGGTTGTCTTTATATCTATTCTTTCTCAATTCATCAAATATTAAATGTATTAACGTGTTCCGTCTTTTTTTTCTTTTTTCCTTTGTCCCTGTTGACGTAGGTACAAGAAGCTCCTTTCAACAGTGGATCTCACAAAGGACTTCTTTTTCAGCTACACCTACAATGTCATGCATAGTCTTCAAAGAAATTTACGCAGGAATGAAACAGGGCTTCTACACTATGAATCAATGTTTGTTTGGAATGAGTTCTTAACTCGAGGGATTCGCAATACTCTCAAGAACACTCTATGGACTGTCGCATTGGTATATGGCTTCTTCAAGCAGGTATGATACACTTTAGACTTTTTCTATTCATTTATTTTTGTGATAAATGATAATGGAAGTAAGATTTGCTGGAAGGTTATTAAGTTCTTGTAATTATATTATTTTCTTTCAGTTTCTATGTCTATTTTTCGCTTAAAAGATGTTGCTTTAGAGAAATCTAGATGCTATTTATTTATTTTAATCCTCGTATTGGGAGCAACCATCAAATTTTCAATTTCTTTTATTAATGGAGTTTCTTTCTCAATACTCTTAAGGACCATAATTGATCATTTATCAGGTTCTCTTATAACTTCAGCTACCATCAATGTGGTAACTAAAGATGAACTAGCATTGTTCTGTCTCAACCTTTTGCTCCACGAGCTCACTAGAAATTGTTTCCATTTGTTGCTAAAGTTTAGATCTAATGTTTGTTGTTTCCCTACTTTGATATCCAGGTGAGACTTTTTGTCTCTGGCAAGAGTTTTTTCTTGACTCTAATTGCTAGACGTTCTCGTCATTATGCTGGGACAAGGTTAGATGCTTTACAGCTACTGATTGAAATGCCTGATGGATTTATTTGAAGTTCTCTTCACTATTTCATTTGGCTTACAGTACATCTGGAGTATTAGCATCGTGTCGGTTTCGTTTGTCTTTGTGGTTTCACTTTGGTTTTGGTTTTATTTTGTTTTTTGTTTTTTTTTTTTTTGCTTATTTTAAGCTCCAGTTTGTGTTGCTCCTGTGAGATAATAAATAAATTGTTTTCTCACATACTCTTGTTGTTTATTTTGATTGACACTCTAACTTTTATTATTTCTCATCAATTGCATAGATACCTGAAACGTGGAGTAAATGAGAAAGGTAGAGTGGCAAATGATGTTGAGACAGAACAAATTGTGTTTGAAGATGTTAATGAAGGGTGCCCTTCAAAAATAAGTTCTGTTGTGCAGAATAGAGGTTCTATCCCACTTTTCTGGTCTCAGGAAACTTCACGCTTGAACTTGAAACCTGACATTATATGTATTAATTCTTTCTCGTTAAATAAAAGCACACAGAGAAATAAATATGCATTTCCACATAGCAACTATTGCAGATTTTTCTACTTTTGCCTTTTGCTTCTAGTATCAAAGAAGGATCCTAATTATGAGGCCACAAGACTACATTTCGAAGATCTTGATATGAGATACGGAAATCCAATAATCATCTTGAATTTGATAAAGGTAGCTTTGCACTGATCATTTTCTAGTTTCCATAAACTTTGTGACGTTCCTCTATCTGCAATGGTTTCCTGATTCATTCTGCTTTATACTCTTGTGATTAACAGGGGAGTGAGAAGAAACCTCGCGAAACTATTCTTCGCACGGAGTTTGCAACAGCCATCAGACTTATTAATAAAAGCTTATTCAAAGAGAACCGTCTGAGGTTCCTTCACTGGGACCTAAACAGACACTCCAGAAAGTAGTTCAATGCCCCATATTCCCATTTCTAAGCAAAATTCTTTCTTACTAATCTTTTCAAGGTTTGTTCACTTAATATAGGTTGACGTTTTTATGCAGAGCTACAAATGTACTGGCACTTCTAGGCAGAGTGGCTGATTATGCATTAAACTTAACGGGCATATTTTACTGTCAAGTAACACCAAATTGTACACAAGATGGGTTGTTGACTTTGTCTTGCTCAGTGTAAGTTCCATTAAATGCAGTTTGGCTAAACTATATTTTATAAATATATGTAGAAATCAGAGTAATTCTCTGTAATTTCTTATTCTTTTCAATAAGGCAAATTACATATTTATATACAAACCATCTCTCTAAAGTAGGAAACTCTAAGAAAGGAAAGATACTAATCCTAGGAGATATGATCCCTTAAAATAAGGGATTGTAGAATATTTACAGAATCCCTTAATTAAAGGATATTTACAGAATCATATATTTCTATAATTCCTACACTTCCCCTCAAGCAGGAGAATATACATTGTATAATCCCAGCTTGAATAGGAATTTATTGAAAACAGACTTTGGCAAAGCCTTAGTAAGAATGTCTGTAACTTGTTCTTCTGAAGGAATGTATGAAAGTGTGGTTGTCTATTTGTTAACTTGATCAGCAATAAAATGTCTATTAATCTCAACATGCTTTGTCCGATCATGTTGAACTGGGTTCTTGGAAGTTTGAATAGCATATTGATTATCACACAAAACTTCAAAGTGATCCTCTTGATTAGTGACAAGTTCTTTCAGTAGTTTAAGTAGCCAAATTCCTTCGCATATTCCCAATGCTAGTGCTCTGAATTCAGCTTCAGCACTACTTCTTGAAACAACAGATTGTTTCTTACTTCTCCAAGTTGTAAGGTTTCCCCAAACAAAGGTGCAGTAGCCACTAGTGGATCTCCTTTCAGTAAGGTCTCCAGCCCAACTAGAATCTGTAAAGATCTTAACAGTTCTGTCTTGTGTCTTCTTAAACATTAAACCGTGTCCTGGAGTTTTCTTCAAGTACTTGAGAATTCTATTTGTTGCTGCCATATGCTCTTCAGTAGGATTAGTCATGTGTTAACTTATCACATTTACAGGAAATGTTATATCTGGCCTTGTCAAGGATAAATAAATTAGTTTCCCAACTAATCTTTGAAATTTCTCTTTGTCTACTAAGGACCCATCTTCTTTGTTAAATTTCAAGATTGCCTCCATTGGTGTATCATTCGGCTTACAACCAAGAAAACCAGTTTCTTTGAGTAAATCAAGTACATGTTTTCTTTGGTTGATCACAAGTCCTTCCTTTGACCTTGCCACCTCCATTCCTAGGAAATACCTTAGCTTTCCCAAGTCCTTGGTTTCGAATTCCTTATTTAACAACTTCTTCAAATTGCAAATCTCTTTTTCATCATCTCCGGTAAGAATTATGTCGTCCACGTACACAATAAGGATAACTTTCTTATTTGTAGAAGTTACCTTGATGAAAAGAGTATGATCGGCGAGGGACTGCTTGTAGCCGTTTTTTAGGATGACTTTAGTGAACCTCTCGAACCAAGCTTTGGGTGATTGTTTTAACCCGTATAGAGACTTGTTGAGCTTGCACACCTTGTTACTTCCTTCAACAGACTTTAAGCTAGGTGGCAACTTTATATAGACTTCTTCTTCTAGTTTGCCATTAAGAAAAGCGTTTTTTACATCAAGTTGGTGTAATTTCTATCGCAATTTACAGCCAAACTTGGGAGTACTCGAACAGTATTCAGCTTCGCCACAGGTGCAAAAGTTTCTGTGAAATCTATCCCATATGTTTGTGTAAAGCCTCTGGCCACTAGTGTCGCTTTGTATCGTTGGATGCTACCATTGGAATTATACTTTACAGTAAAGATCCATTTACAGCCAACAACCTTTTTTCCTTAAGGAAGGTCCGTAACGGTCCAAGTAGCATTTTTCTCTAGTGCACAAATTTCCTATTCAACATCCCTTCTTCATTTTGAATCCTTTAGAGCTTCAACTATGCTTGTGGGAACCTATTCTTTATCCAAGTTTGCTGTAAATGCTTGAAAAGACGGCATCAATGAATTATAACCAGCAAATTTTTCAATAGGATGCTTGGTGCACTTTCTAACCCCTTTTCTAATAGCAATAGGGAAGTCATCTAGAGTAAGGGAAGTGGACTTACTGATTTCTTCTTCTATTTCGGCAGTTGGACCTAAATCCAATTCTCGGCAAGCATCAGATTGCAAAACAACCTCAGGAATATGTTTTCTTTTCCTTGTATAGAAACAGAGCTGTTTGATTGGTGTTGTTTGTGGAATATTTTGAATGAGAGTATGTGTATTTTCAGGAAGGGTATTTAAAGTGGGTATGGGTGAAGTAGTAATAAGTACTACCGGTGGATCAATGGGAGTAGTTACAGGTGATAAATCTGTAGGTAATGACAAAATTGGTGGCAATTCTGAAGGTTGAGAATGAAGAGTAGGAGGAGATACTTGATGTGGCTGAAAATCCTTCCATGTCTCCCCCTGAATTTCAGCTTGAGTGAAATAGGGATCCTGCTCATAAAATGTTATATCCATAGTGGTAAAAAATCGTTTTAAAGGAGGATGATAACATTTATAACTCTTCTTAAGTGAAGAATACCCAACCAGTACACACTTTAATGATTTAGGATCTAACTTGGACTTATTAGGAGCAATGTTTTGGATAAAAACAGTACAACCAAATATTTTAAGTGGAAGAATGGAGGAGATAGGTTTAAAATGGGGAAAGTATTGCAAAAATATAGATTGAGGTGTTTGAAATTGTAAAACCTTACTAGGCATTCGATTGATTAAATATGTGACAGTTAATAAGGCTTTCCCCCACAAATATTTTGGAACATTAGTGATAAATAGAAGAGAACGAGTAATTTCAAGGAGGTGTCTATTTTTTCTTTCGGCAATACCGTTTTGTTGTGGGGTGTCAACACAAGAATTGATCTGAACTATGCCCTTTTCCCTAAAAAACGCACCCAAAGACTTAGCAAAAAATTCACTGCCATTATCAGATTTAAAGAGCTGAATTTTAGACCCAAATTGAGTGAGAACCATGTTATAAAATTGGGTAAAAACACCAGCAGTTTCAGATTTATCTTTTAGCAAATAAGTCCAAGTTATTCTACTGTGATCATCAATGAAAGTGATAAACCACTTACAATTATCAGCATTCTTCACCCGAGAAGTGCCCCAAATATCACTGTGGATCAAAGCAAAAGGGTGAGAAGGCTTATATGTAGAAGGAGAATAAGTTGATTTAGTATGTTTGGCAAGAGAACAAACTTTGCAAGAAAAAGAATTTGGCCTTTTATGAATGAATAGAGCAAGAAAAACTTTTGCAAGATAGTGAAAACTAGGATGACCTAAACGATAGTGCCATAACTTAACATTATCAACTTTTTCTAAAGCGGTGAAAGATTTCGAGATTTCGGTTTTAGTAGAGGCAGAAAGAATGTAGAGACCATTCTGCAAGCTGGCCTTATCAATCATCTTCTTCGAGTTCAGTGTTTGTAAAGTACAATCAATATCATTAAAAATTGCAGAGCAGTGCAAGTCGGTGGAAAGTTTACTAACGGAAACGAGATTGCAAGCCAGATTTGGTATGAAGAGGACATTTTTAAGTACAATATGGTCATTGAGAATAACAGTGCCATGTCCTTCTATTTTGCACAAAGAACCATCAGCCGTTTTGACAGCTTTACCAAAGTTTGGAAAAAAATTGCAAAACAAATCCTTATTACCAGTCATATGATCCGTAGCACCAGAATCGTGGATCCAATTAGGGGTCGACTGGGAGGAGAAAAAAACTTTAGCATGAGGTTTACCTTCTGGTTCTTTCATGACCAGATTACCTTCTGATTGAGCAGCAGAACCAGAAAAATTTTCTGGATTCGAAGTGATCTCCGGAGTAGGAGAAGAAGTTGTGGACATCGTCTAGGTTGGAAAGAAACCGTAACCTAAGCTGATACCATGTAGAATAATTCTCTGTAATTTCTTATTCTTTTCAATAAGACAAATTACATATTTATATACAAATCATCTCTCTAAAGTAGGAAACTCTAAGAAAGGAAAGATACTAATCCTAGGAGATATGATCCCTTAAAATAAGGGATTGTAGAATATTTACAGAATCCCTTAATTAAAGGATATTTACAGAATCATATATTTCTATAATTCCTACAATATAAACATATGAAAATTCTTTTTTCTAATTATTTGTTTTCCTGATCATTCATGTTAACTATTTATTCTACTCCACAGGCAAAATTATGAGTCCCCTGCCAAGTCTTCGTCTGACAAAACTGATGATATTGATAAGTTTGAAACAGATGTTGCTAATGACAATGAGAAATGTAGTGAGACCGTAAAACATCCCATGTTTCAAACTGGAGTACTCAGAACCAACTGCATTGACTGTCTCGATCGCACTAATGTTGCTCAATATGCCTATGGATTGGTTGCTCTTGGACGCCAGCTTCATGCCATGGGCTTGACTGAATCCCGAACTATTGATCAAAATATTCCTTTGACTGAGGATTTAATGGGAGTTTATGAAACAATGGGTGACACACTTGCTTTACAGTACGGTGGTTCTGCAGCTCACAACAAGGTATCCAACAGATTTAAGGAGCTTTTGTTATCATTCTAAAATAAAATGATGATGATAAACACAATATGATTTTCATATTGAGTAAATGTCCCATACATGGTTAAAAAATTAACTTTTAGGGTTTTAAGATGGCAGAGTAAACTTTGGAACTTGTGTTAAGAATTTGGAGTGGCTGGACCAGTACCATGACAATAATGCTTACTAGTCGGGTGTCAGAGTGCTTGCACTGAAACCTTTGGTATAAGGCCCTGAGTACGATTTCTTAATCTTCATTTTCATGTTAAACAGATATTTTGCCAAAGGAGAGGCCAATGGAAAGCAACAACTCAATCCCAGGAATTCCTTAGAACTTTGCAACGTTACTATAACAATGCATATATGGATGCGGAGAAGCAAAGTGCCATCAATTTGTAAGATAAAAGCAACCCTCATTCTTCATTTTGTAGTTCTTCACATATGATACATAGGGTGTGTTTGGTAGGCATAGAAGTTCCAGCACGATGGGAGTCCCCCCTCTGCACAACCTCATTGCTATCAAATACTGTTATACTTAATGATTGTGATGGTTAACTATTAGCCCATGCAGGTTCTTGGGTAACTTTCAGCAACAAGAGGATAAACCAGCGCTCTGGGAGTTGGATTCAGACCAACACTACTGTGTGGGAAGGCATGATCCTAATCTTTGTAATGAGAATGCTAGGGATATTGAGTCTGAATTCCAAATACCTTTTATACCAAATTTCCTCTGCCATGTATTCCTTTTAGACTATATGCCACCATATAATTTTAGTTCTAGATATAATATGAGGACGTCTTCCAATATTTTAATGTTCTATGATGAAAGTTGTCTGTAAATCTAATCTCTGAACTGCAAATGCTACTTATACCAAATTTCAGATTCCAAAGATTTCTTTAAACTACATGCTGCTATAATTCTAGTTCTAGATACAATATGCATGTTTTCAGCTATATTTTAATATTTTTATATACAATCTTGTATTTGTAAATCTACTCTGAATTGTGAATACCTTGTTTTCCAATTTTCCTTTTTAGACTATATGCTGCCAAATAATTCTAGTTCTAGACATAATCTGCAGAGGTTTAGCAACATGCTGATGGTTTTATGTTTATGATGTTGTATTTTATAAATCTTTTAGGTTTTATGGTTTTACCACAATGATTGTTTTGAAAACTGCATTTTCTTTAAACGGTACAAGTTTTTGGCGATACCAATATTCTTTCATCTGTTTGTTATAGATCGGTAAAATATAGTTTTGACTTGCTGTTTTAATGCCCCCGTTTAGTATCCTAACCTAACCTACCTTGCAAAAGCAGTTAATAAGATCATTTTCAAATATATAGGCCATCTTTTAAAAGATCACTGTCAGATGGCAACATTGTCACTGAAACGGACTCTCCCTTGGGTGATTCAAATATTGGACACCATCAGCCTTTGTCTGAAAATAGAGAAACTTTGCGTGGTCTTTCTGAGTCCACGCCAGCGATCACAATGTCTGAAATTTCTTATTCCAGGTGCGATTGTGTATATATATTTTGTTCCATGTAGAGTATCTTACTGATTGTCTGTTGATATAATGAAACAGAAGCTCTTGACTTGTAATTTCTTCTGTGACTATAGTTATTGCATAGATTTATATAAATGTTACATCTAAAGGTGTCAACATATAAAATTTAGAAATTTATTGGTGCCTGTACCTAGGAATTATGATGACAGATCATCATTAAAATAATTTAACTCCAAGAATGTCTTGCAGGCAACTTTTCGGAGAAGAGGACCAGGTATATTATGATGAAAATGGTAATGAATGTAATTGCACTAATTTCGATCTGGAATGGCTTTCATCATCAGGAAATTCATGTGATGAGGATATTTTTGACAGGTAAACAAATTCATCTTCAATTTTATTACTTTAAAAATGCAGGATGCTTTTCAGATGACATCTTTTTTCTCTGAAATCAATAATACCAGCCAGTCAAATTATATGTTCTTTCTTTTCACGGCTAACACCGCACCATTAATTTGAGCAAAAGCCATCTACTTCTCTCTGTTGATTATTTAACAAAGGGAGGTAGATTAACATTTTGTCATTATGCTGTAGGCTAATGACATAGGAGAACTTTCTTATTTACTTTCTTTTAGGTGCTTATACTTGTACATTTGTCGAATAATTGTTGCTTTAACTTCTTGAATGAACACATTTATTCCAAGTGTTTAAACTTGAATAGAAACAAAAAAACTATTTTAGATATCTCGACCAGAGATGGAAAATTTCTTTCAGAAAATGAAAATTGCTACAAATATGTAAGCATTTAGACCAGAATATAAAATCTGAAACACTTTTCAACATGTCCCTCTGGATTTCTATGTCTACCTACACTTGCCGCTGTCTGGCACCTTTCCAAATTTACTCTGATTTTTTTGAAATATATTCCAAATTTACTTGCATTTGAAAAAATTTCGTTCGACTTTTGAATTCACATGAATCTGTATTATTGCTCACAGGTTTACAACGAGGTTATCCTCTGAAAATATTGGTGCTGAACTAAATGTTGGTATGACTACATCTCCAAGTGAGTCCGGTTCAAGCATAAAGGTCGGTACTAACACTTCTATAATTTGATTAACAACCATCACTTGTATGAATTGAGTTGCTGGGCGTTTGCAATAATGCCCAAGAGAGGCTCATCATATATATATCACACATGATACAAATTATCTACAAGCGAAAGCAATATTTTTTAATTTATTCATAGGCTTCTAGGTCTCCTATATATCCATGTGATATTTGCCTACGCCATTGGTTGACAAGCCTGCTTTATATGTTTAGGGAGGGTACCGAACTGCATCTGAACTCAGTATTCTGGATGAATTTCCAGAGGGCTTTGTGAATTGGGTAACTCATGGAGATATGCTTACTCCTTTAAATTTGACATCGAAGTAGCTTCAAGATAAAAAAACATTTCCCAACCAAATCGAACTCATCCAAAGGATGTGAGTTCATTTCAGTTTAAAGTAAAAAATTGTGAGATTAAACTGTGAAAGAAGTGAGAGTTGTGGTGACTTGCGTTGAGGTTAACGCAAGTGAGGCTGCCCTGAGAAGAAAAGAGTTGTGGCTTCTTCCGATGAAAAAAGTAGGTTTCAACTAGGGATACCAGAACAGCATGGTAAATTTCAACCAGGGATGGCAATCAAGCAGGCCGGGGATAGGTTTTGAAGGAAGCAGAACTGGTACATTGCTGTGATTTCTTTTGGATCTTTGACCAACTCAGTCTGCAAAAGACTGTAAACGTTAAAAGGCACAGGTTTCTCCCTGTAAATACTTCAATATTCTTAAATAGATGATTCCTTCTTTCGACATTTTTGGCATGCTTGTATACGTTATTAACTTTTTTGGGTAAAAATACTGAAGTACCGTAACTGCTTTCAAATTTTATCCCCGTGTTGTAGACTTCATAATCTGGCAGCAGCAGTTGGCGAAAGCCATAGATGGCCCAATTGGTATGTGACTAACAACCCTAAGATTCTCCTCGAGAGTTTTTCGAAGGTAAGGGAATAACCTATTTTTGGTTATATTGAGGGAAAATGCAGGCTGTAGTAGAAACACACGAATACCTGAACGAGTTATACTCTACATGGAACGAATAGAAGAAGAATAGATGAACCTTAATCTAGCAGGAGCCCTGTATTTAGGGATGGATCAATTACTTAATGTTTAACCGTTTACTATTGAAAATTTGATATGAAAAAAATCATATATTTTCTAATAAAAATTTGTAGAAATTAATCTCATTCGTTGTTCGTCCTGCGCATATTCAAGTACGAAACATCCAATTGGAAATTACAATAAAGCTAGGGTAAACTATATCAGAGATCGTCCCATTTTTAAATTTTTGTCAATCAGATCACCTAATTATTTAAATACATTCAATCAGACAACTAGTCGTTAACAGTTAACGGAAATATTGATGTAGTTAATAAAATTGATATAATTATACATTTGATCACTGTTACTTATATATTATATTAATTTGATCATAATTTAAAAAAAATTAAAATAAATTTATTCTTCGAATCAGATCATGATATTGTGGTCACGTGATTAAAGGGTTTAATTTATTTTAATTTAAATATTTAGTTTCCACTAATCAAAGGATGACATGTATCACATTCTGAGTGAATGAAAATTAAAAACACCAAATGAGGGTAATGGAATTCAACCTTGGGTTGTGTGGGTGGCAAAGAATAGCATCAACTACTAGGACAAAGTTGATTCTTTGCCTTAAAGTGAACTACATGTAATATATAACTTGTATCTTAATTTAGTTTTAATTTTATAATATTATATATATCTTAACTTAAATTCACATCTAATAAAATTGAATATATATTTTATTCTTAACTAAAATAAAAAATATTTTAGTCTTTTTTAAACTTAAAATATATATATATATTTTACCTTAACTTAAATATTTATATTTTATTTTTATAATATTTTAATATTAAGATAAAAAAAATTATAGTTAAGATAAAAATAAAGTATTTTTCTTAAATTAAAATAAGATTAAAATATAAATTTTAAATTAAAATAAAATATATATTTAAGTTAATATAAGAATAAATAATATTTAATAATTCAAGGTAAAAATATAATATATTTAATAATTTAATAATTTATAAGTTAAGATAAAATTAAAATATATTTTTAATTAAAATAATAATAAAATATATTCAATAAATTAAGATAAAAATAAAATATACTTTTAATGTTAACATGTAATTTTAAGTTAAGATATATTTAATATTAAGAGTTACATACTTTATATAATTAATTTTAAACCAAAAATTAAACTTTACCCAACTACTGAGTCATTGGTTTCTCTCCCAATCATTGTTGGTTTGTAGGCCTGTAAACGAACCGAACACACATGAACGGAGGTATATTCATGTTCGTTCATTTAAAAAATAAACGAACACGAACATAAACGAACAATTTTTTTGTTCATGTTCGTTTATTAAATAATATAATTTGTTCATGTTCGTTCATTTAATAAATAAACTAACATAAACGAACACGAACATAAACGAACACGAACATAAATGAACACGAACATAAACGAACATAAACGTTGGAGACCCTACCTTCCATTGTTCTTTCATAAAAAATAGTCGATAATGCAAATCAATCAAATCTACAGTGATAAATAGTGTAAGAGCTGATTAGGAGTGATGAAATGTTTGAAGATATCAAATATTTCGATCGATCTTTTAAAGATATTAAATGATTCACACGACTTTAATTTAACGCTATAACATTTATCTTAATGGTCCATGATTACATATGAACAATCATTTTTCACTACGTTATTCTAATAAATTCGCTGGCTAAAAGTTTTGTGACATCAATGTCAGACTTTAGTGAGGTTTGTTAATAACGGTCCTTTCCGTTGGCAGAGTAGAAAATTTAACAGCATAAAGATTTCGAATGATACAAATTAGACTACAAGGCAATAACATAGATCCGAAATCCATTCGATGATACATATTGTAACTGATATTATTGCTAAACCTCCATTCAAAATTTTAACGTACCTAAATTCTACTCCACAACTGAAGGTCATACAAGAACTATGAAAACAAAAGTTCATTGTCAAAGTGTATTTTCTACTTATTAATGGGTTTTCCTGGAAAACCCATTACTTCCGCTATTACGCTCTTTTTCAAAAATTACATAGAAACCTTTGTTTTATTTTCTAGCAAATTCTATATATTTTTCTCTTTACTTAAGCTCATATACTTCCGATTGTTACTTTTATCTTCTCATCTATTTCTAAAAAGAAGTATGATTTTTTCTTGAGTTTTAGATGTGAAGATACCCGCAATAACTTTACATATCAACTATTAAGCCAAATAAAACAGAGAAAGAGATGAAAACATATATGTAAAACTTCAGATTGCACTATAATATAACTTGTTTTGAAGCTTTTAGCGATCGTCTCCACTCTCCGGTGAACACTAGGGTTTGAGAAAAAAGGAGAAAAAAGGGGAAAAATGAATATAAGTGTGAGGTGCCTCACGAGTTAACATATTGAATTTAATCTCCAAATAAAATTGGGTTAATTTATGAGTTGATCATCAGAATATCAGATTAATTTATATTTTATGATACTTACAAATTGGTCACCAAAATTGATTTAAGAAGATTGGATTAAACATAAATGAATTAACATAAACGAACATAACCGAACGAACATAAACGAACATAACTGAACGTTCACGAACGTAAATGAACGAACGAGACCTATGTTCATGTTCGTTCATTTAATTAAACGAACACAAAATCTTGTTCATGTTCGTTCATTTAATAAATAAACGCACATAAACGAACTTCTCGCCGCACGGTTCATGAACAGTTCACTGAACGTTCAGTTCATTTACAAACCTATTGGTTTGAGTTCCTACGGGCCCCTATTTAGGGCATGTAATTTATATTCACTTAAAAAGTGATACATGTTATGATATTTGACATTAATAATACATAACATGATCTGATTTAAACTAAATTAATAGAATATATAAATAAATATATAATTTTATTAATTTTATTAAAATTAAAATCAAATTAATAAAATATATAAAAAATAATAACTAAATATATAATTATATTAATTTTATTAACTATTATATCATCATTTTCATTAAATATTAATAATTAATAATTTCATTAAATACATTTAAATAATTAAATAATCTGATTAGTAAAAAAAATATATAAAAAAAACTATAATTGGGTGGGTTATACCCATAAAGCCAATGGGTACCTCTCTTTACCATCACGTAAACCGCGAAGCTGAAGAACAATATGTGCTTTCCTCTTTTATTTAGCAGGAATACCAATGTCAACGTATCTCACTGACTGTACAAGCTCCACATATTATATACTAAAAATTGTCTACTAATTCTAGACCATTCATAAAGTATGATCAATTTATTGTATATTGAAACATTATGGAACTCAACATTGGAGCAGTATCTTACAGAATCCTTGAATCTGTATGGATAAAGTGGTCATGCCTCATTGAAAGATAACTACTGAAGGTGGATAAATAAATAAATAATGTATCCGATAAAAGGCGCAAATCTACCCGATTACCCTTACATTGCAAACAAAAGAACGTACACAGATCAACATCTAAAGACGACAAACATGGTTTGATTCCTCCAGTTCCCAAAGTTGAGAAACCTCAAAACCTTCAACACCTAAACCTATCCATCCTCCTATTGCTGTTTCCGTAGAATAACTTGTTTTGTTCAACAAAAACCATGGGCCACCACCCTCACGCATTCATCATCATCTTAAGCAATTGCAACTGTTTTAGGCTTTGGTGGCGGAGGAAGCTTCTCGACCACCACAGTCAAAACCCCATTCTCACATTTAGCCGTAATAGCCGACAAGTTAGCATTCTCAGGCAACCGGAACTTCCTCATAAGCTTTTGGGCTGCCTTCCTCTCGAGTCTTATGTATTTACACCCTTCCTCTTCTACTTCCTCACGTTTCCTCTTCCCACCGCTTTTGATCACCAGAGTATTCTCATCTTCGACAGTAACCTTAAAATCAGGCCAAAAAGAATCAATGTCGGCCAAAAAAAGAGAAAAAAATCAAAACACCCTGATGATGGCTGTTTTGGTTTCACATGTATTACCTGGATATCAGACTTGGACAAGCCCGGAACATCTAAATAGAAAATGATCTCCTTAGGAGTGTCCAAAATGTCGGCCAGTATGCTACTAATTCCTTTGTTCCCGTTCTCACGACTGTCGTGAGCCCGTGAAGGCAACATTATTTTTTCGATGTTTTCTGGGAAATTAAACCAATGAGCGATTGGGTGTGCAACTGCGCTCATTTTTTTGGACGACGTTGCAGGGAGAAATAAGAAGAGTAAATGTTTAGTGTCAATACAAAAATACCTCAAAAGTGTGCAGCTTTCTGCCGGTGTAGTGAGAAAAATCGGGGAGGAAGCAAAGTATATAGAAGTTGAAGAAAACTCTGGATAAATCTCAAATAATTTGGAACCTTCTTGTTTGCTTACACGCGTCACCCAGTGAATGTGATGTCGTGATCAGATGCTGCCACGTAACCTGCTTAAGTTATCGTTTCCTTCCCAATTTCTTGCTTTGGGTTGGTTGATCCATTCCTCTTTATTTGGGCTTCTCTCTCTTTTCTCTAATCATAGGTTTCGGGCTTCAATAATCATCGCCGTAATAAATATAGTAATCACTAAATTTTGAGTAAATTTTCGTTTTGCCACTAAACTTTAAAAAGTTATAAATCAGTCACTAATGTGATCGATTTGTTATAAAATGGTAACCAGACGTTAACCGCTGTAAATCTCGATGACAAAAAGCTGAGCTGGATTGTTAAATGCTTACATGGTCCGTTAACGGCTTACATGGAGCGTTGACCAGTCACTAATTGATGGTTGTTGACCTTTAATGCAAAACGCTTCTTCTTCCCTTCCCCTTCTTCTTCCCCAGAGTCCGGCTCAGTTCCAGTTGCAAACCAAACAATCTAGGCTACTCAAAATCGAGTATTGCTCAATGCATATCAAAGATTTCCCCGATTCTGAACAAGACTTAAACCGACAGTAAAGGTCGGCTAACGTTTCTATCAACTGACTGGGTTTCAAGTGAGGTTATATGGGTGGTTCAATAAGGTCGGAGTCCGAAAGGAAGCAATGTTTTAGCTCTTGAGACATAGCAGACCATATTGAATTTGAGTTTTGACCCTATAAAGTCGATCCTATGGTTACCAAGCTTACTGGATGTAGAAGAAGAGGCAGTATTGTGTTAAGAAACTGAAATCTGGGCAGAATTATACTTTATTCCACACATATTCAATTACAACAAATAGGTCCTTTATATAAACAATTTCCTGTAACTAACTCAATAACTAATATCTAACAAACTTAACAAACTAACAGCATATGTAACACAACTTAAAATCAGTTAACATTTTCTACACTCCCCCTCAAGTTGGTAGTTGTAAAGAGGTCTTTAAACCCCAACTTGGAAACTAGGTATTCATATTGATGTACACTCAAGGCTTTGGTCATCAAATCTGCTTGTTGCTCTCCTGTCTTGATGTGCTCTGTTTGTATCAAGCCTTCTTGAATCTTCTCTCTGACAAAGTGACAGTCTATCTCAATGTGTTTAGTTCTCTCATGGAAAACTGGATTAGCTGCTATTTGCAAGGCTGCTTTATTGTCACACTTCAGCTTCGCTGGTGCTATGTTTTTCAAGCCTAATTCTGTCAACAAACCCTTCAGCCATACTATTTCTGCAGCTGTCCCTGCCATGCTTCTATATTCTGCTTCTGCAGAGGAACGCGCAACAGTGTTTTGTTTCTTAGACTTCCAAGAAATTGGAGACATTCCAAGCTTAATGCAGAAACCAGTTATAGATCTTCTAGTCATGGGGCAAGCAGCCCAATCAGAGTCACAATAGGCAATCAATCTGCACTCACTCGTAGCACTTAATAAAATCCCCTGTCCTGGATTTTTCTTAATGTATTTTACCACTCTCAATGCAGCTTCAAGATGTGATTGTTTTGGTTTATGCATAAATTGACTGAGGAAATGAACAGCATAGACAATATCTGGCCTTGTGTGAGTCAAATATATTAGTCTACCTATAAGTCTCTGAAAAACAGTTTTGTCTTGCAACAGTTGTTCACTGCTACAAACAGCTTCATCATACTCAACTGTAGTAAACTTCTTGTTTTGCTCTAGAGGAGTCATGGCTGGTTTGGCTCCCCCTACTCCAGTTTCTTCAATCCACTCTAAGGCATATTTCCTTTGATTCAACACAATCCCTGCTTTTGACCTTAGAACTTCTAATCCTAGAAAGTATTTCAACTCTCCAAGATCCTTCATTTTGAAATTCTTATTCAAAATATACTTTAGTTCTGTTATCAATACTTCATTACTTCCAGTAATTAAAAGATCATCAACATATACTAACAAAACAACTATATCACTACCTTGTTGCTTTGTGAACATTGAGTAATCATATTTGCTCTGCACGTAACCAGCTATAAGTAAAGCTTCTGTTAGCTTCAAATTCCATTGCCTAGAGGCTTGTTTTAGCCCATAAAGTGATTTATGCAGCCTACACACCTTAGACTCCCCCTGGCTGCAAAAACCATCAGGTAGTGTCATATAGACTTCCTCAATAAGGTCACCTTGTAAGAACGCATTGTAGACATCCATTTGGTAAAGAGGCCAAGAAAAAACTGATGCAATAGCGAGGACAGTTCGAACAGTGACCAATTTAGCAACTGGGGAGAAGGTATCCATAAAGTCAATCCCTTCTCTTTGATTGAATCCTTTAGCAACAAGGCGAGCTTTGAAACGTTCAACATCTCCATTAGCCTTGTACTTGATTCTGTAGACCCACTTACAACCTATTGGAAATTTCCCTGAAGGCAGGGTGACTATAGACCAAGTGTTGTTTGACTCCAAAGCATCAATCTCTTCCTTCATGACTTGGATCCAAAGAGGGTTGGTAATGGCTTCATAATATGTTTTTGGTTCACTTAAATGAGAAGTGGAAGACAAGAAAACTTGAGTTTTAGAGGGTAAATGAGAATAAGAAATGAAATTGGAAATAGGATACTTACTTGGAAGAGATGAAGATTGGTAGGGGTGAACATAGTCATGTAGCCAATTAGGAGGTTTGACAGCCCTAGTGGACCTCCTCTGAGGTGGACACTGATTTTCAGGTGGAGCAACTGAACTAGAACGTGGATTTGGTGAGTGAATGGGTAAACCAGTTGAAACTTGAGGTGATGCAGAAGAAGAAGAGGACATATTAGGTAAAACAGAATTTGGACTAGATGAGGCAGAAATTTTAATGGTAAGAAAATCAGAATCAACAATGTGAGGTTGAGTAGGGAAAAAAGGAGAGGGTTTGTTTAATGGAAAGGAGAAGGGGAATACATTTTCATGAAAGACCACATCACGATTGACAAAAAAAGATCGTGTATGAAGATCAAAAAGAAGATAGCCCTTTTGGGTTGATGAATAACCCATAAAAACAGAAGGAATAACTTTTGGAGAGAATTTGTCTTTATAGTTAACTTTGGTTGCATAGCAGAGACAACCAAACACTCTCATATGAGAAAGGTTAGGTGACTTGTGATAAAAGGTCTCAAATGGACTTTTCCAGTTTAGAATGGCAGTAGGAAGCCTATTAATAATATAACAGGCAGTTAGAACACACTCACCCCAAAATTTAACAGGCACATGGGAATGGAAACGAAGAGCACGGGCTACTTCCAAAAGATGTTTGTGTTTTCGTTCAGCAACCCCATTTTGTTGGGGTGTGTGAACACAGGAGCTTTGGTGAATAATGCCAAGAGATGAAAAAAGTTGAGAACAATTATCACTAAAAAACTCACCACCATTGTCACTACGAATATATTTAACTGAAGCAGAATGGTGGTTTTGGACAAGAGCAAAGAATTGTTTAAGAAATAAAATAGCATCAATCTTAAGTCTCAACAGGTAAACCCAAGATAGTCTAGTGTGATCATCTACAATTGTTAAAAAGAATCTATGACCACTATGTGTTGAGATTCTATAGGGACCCCACAAGTCAACATGAATTAAATCAAAAGGTCTGAATGATCTAGATACGCTAATGGGAAAAGGCAATCTTGACTGTTTTGCAAGGGGACACACAGAACATTGTTTAACAGTGTTTTCATTCAAAGGAAGAGTACTCAAAAAAGGAGTCTTATGCATTTTAACAGAAGTGGCATGCCCTAAACGTGCATACCAAAGCATTGTATTATTAGAAGAAAAAACAGTCATACAATCAGAATCAGTCTTGTATTTTGATGGTGACAAAACAAAACTAGAATTTGTAGATGACAAACCAGAAACAAGGTCCTTGGAATTAAACATGTAGAGACCATGATCCTGCCTACCAATCCCCCTCATCTTCCCAGAGAAGAGATCCTACAAAATGCAAAAATGAGGGTAAAAAATGATACTGCAATTGAGGTCTTTGGTTAATTTTGACACTGACAGCAGGTTATGATGGAAATCAGGAACATACAGGACATTTCAGATGATATCAGTTGAGTTAAAGTGAAAGTTACCAGTGTGAGTAATGGGGATTGTTTTACCATTAGGCAGATGGACAAAACTAGGCTTACACGAATTAAGAGATTGTAAACAATGGATGTCAGACACCATGTGGTCAGTAGCCCCTGTATCAAGTATCCAATAAAATGAATCAGCAGAAGCAGGTAAGCATTTAGAAGTAATACCTGCTAGGTTGACTGCAGCATCAACCGATGGTGGTTTATTTAAGAGCTCAAGTATTTGGTGATATTGAGCTGTTGTGAATACTGGAGCAGACTGAACTGTACTGAAACCACCAGATTGTGCTTCATGATTCGATTCAGGTAATGAGGGATTGGTAGCAAGAGCGGCTTGAGGATTCCTCTTTTTTGTGAACTTAAAATCAGAAGGGAATCCGATTAAGCGATAACAATTGTCACGCTTATGGCCTTTGATCTTGCAGAAGTCACAAACACCAGTGAAACGCCTTCGATCAGAGTTAGCAGACGTATTGGAGTACATAGCCGTGACTCCCGAAGCAAGAGGCAACTGAGCTCGTTGTGCCTCTTCTTGCACAATCATAGAGTATACTTGATTCACGCTTGGAAGAGGTTGCATAATGAGGATTTGACTGCGAATAGCGGAGTACGTATCATTAAGCCCCATAAGGAATTGCAACAGTTGCTGCTGTGCAAGATGCTTGGAATTTTGTTGAGAAGCCTCGCAATTACAGGCTGAAAGGGGGACTAGGGCATGATATTCATCCCACAAAAGTTTTAGTCGCATAAAATATACCGATACAGTAGAATCACCTTGACTTGAAGTAACAATTTCTCGATGCAAGGAGA